AAAGCAAAGCAATTACAACTGCTGTGGTCGATGTTGGGGCTGAAAATCTCAGAATCCCCCTCTCATGTCTTTTTTTTCCCCTCTTTTTCCCTTCTTTCCCAGGTCATTCAAAGGATCTTCTTACATTTTCATGAGTACAGTTTTAAAATCATTGCATAGACTATCTCTTAAGACTCAAACAACCCTGATGCAGTCACAGCATTTTATATAGATATATGGACAAGTCCACAGGAGAAGCTGCCTTTTAAAACCTGTACACATACCGACTGCCTCCAAGTGTCCCTAATACTACTGTGAACCTTCAACCTGGACCCTCTTAGAGAGCCGTCTCTGCCATATGCCCAACATGCTCAAAGTACTCTCCCTAAACCTGAAATAGATAAAGAAGCAAATGGAATTTAAAAAATGCAGTTAATGATGTTTCTACGTGATAAGTGCACCAAATGAATGTGTCTACTTTTACATTTAAAAGAATGTTGAAATTATCTGACTGAGTTATTTCATGAAAGACTGATCTAGATAATCTATTTAAAGCCCTAATTGAATTTATTGGCTTAATCCCTTGAATGATATTGCAATCTACCCATAGCTTCATGATTTGATTGAATTAAACTTGAATCAGTCAGAAAATTGTTTCCTTGCACTTGTATTAAAAACGGAATAGATTCTATATACTGCTATTATTTATATTAGGTTTAAAGTTTTTCTTTGTGCTCTTTTAAATATGCATGTCACAACCCTAAGCTAATATTTGGTTTATATCACATTAGGATTTCTAATATAGGGTCATTATGAACTTTGTTTCTATTATTTACATTTCCTGAGCTGCCTATTTTTCAGGGCCAGTCCTAGTTACAGATTTTTAGTTTATCATTTTCTGAAGAAGGCTATTACTCTCTGGGGAGTAGTGTTCATAATCCCAATGACCCACACTGAATGTTTGGGGAAACTGAGGATATCTGTCTACCCAGCTGCATCACTCAAATAAGGTGGTACATAGGGCAGAACAGTTTTCACAGTTAGTGGATTCTTATCTATGAGAGTAACCTTACTAAATTAAATTTACCTTATATAAATTCAAAGGCACAATATTCAAATTTTGTCTATGTGACTTTAACCATCTCCTACATCAGTCCAGAGAGCCAAATAAAAACTTCCCATCCAAATAAAGGCAAAAGACCAAAATAAAACAAATTAGCAAAGCAAAGCAAAGCAAAACAAAACCCTACAATGTTCCAGGAAGCCAAATAAAATCTTCCTGTGCAAATAAAGGCAAACAGCAAAAATAAAACAAACAAAGATCTCGACAACTATCTTAAGATCAGAAAGGCATAAAAGAAATCTCATTTTTTAAGCAACCAGTTACTCTTCTTCTATTTCTAACAATGATGTAGAAATTTCAGATGTTGGCTCTGATGAAGATTTTCAAACACATCTTGATATTTGATGGTAAGGAATTTACATGTAGCCTTCAGACTTCTACAGGTGCGGCAAGAGCATCCTTGCTGCATGTGAAGTCATTTGGTAATGAATAGGGCTATTCATATAGAATTAATGTCATTTCCTTTTTAGCTTTTCCTTTTGAATTCTTGTTACTTAGAGCAAAATTCAATAGATATAGCTTACTTTATAGCATATGCCATACATGGACAATTCTGTCTCTTTTTTCCTGCAAATATTTGTTTTAGATAAATGAGCACTGAGGTTTAGAGAGTATATTTGTCAGTTCAAACCACCTAACCAATACCATAGCATAACAAATACCATACACTGGGTGGCTTAAACAATAGAAATTTATTTTCTCACAATTCTAGATGCTGAAATCCAAGATTGAGGTACTGGCAGATTCAATTCCTGGTTAGGGCTCTCTTCCTGGCTTGCAGAAGGCTGCCTTTTTTTTTTTTTTTTTTTGGTTAATCAATGAGAGCATGTAACGTTGCTCAGGTTGGCCTTGAACTCATGGCCTCACGTCCTCAAGCACCAGGACAACTGGCCGGAGCCACCACGGCCCCCTAGGCTGCCTTCTTTCTGTGTCCTCACATGGTGGAGAGACAGCCCTCTGCCACATTTTCTTACGAGGGCACTAATCCGATCGGGTCTGAGCCTTATCCTCATGACTTCATTTGACCTTAAATAATTAATTAACCTCCTTATAGGCCCTATCTCTAATATAGTCACATGGAATCTTAGCACTTTAATGTATGAATTTTCAGGGACACAACTCAGTTCATAGCCTTTAAAGCAGCAGAGCTAGGATTTGAATCTAAGCAGTGTGACACTGGAACCCTGTTGTCAACCCTCTTACAGCTGCCTGAGATTTTTACGAATGATTATAAGGTTAGCTCAGTTTGTCTTGCAAACCTTTCCACCTTTCTTTCAGTGTTCCATACTTTAGGCATATTCCTCTCACCTGACCCTATGAAATCTCCATGTTATAGGCCTTCAGTGTTCATCTCATTTGTACTAAAGATTAATTCCTTCCAAGGGTGTTTGCATACTCATGAACAAAATGTCCCAAAGAAGAACCATGCCCCACATAACAAACTTTAGCTTTTAGAAAACACGGCAGGCAATCCCAGAACTTTGGGAGGCTGAGGTGGGCGGATCACGAGGTCAAGAGATTGAGACCATCCTGGCCAACATGGTGACACCCCGTCTCTACTAAAAAAATACAAAAATTAGCTGGGCATTGTGGTGCGCGCCTGTAGTCCCCGCAACTTGGGAGGCTGAGGCAGGAGCACTGCTTGAACCTGGGAGGCGGAGAAAAGAAAACACGTAGACATATTTTTAAGAGACTCTCCCTCATCTTTCAGCTCACCCCTTAGTGAAAATTGTAACACTTTGGAATATGAGCTTGTAGTACATACATTTCCTACAGATATATTTTTTTCCTTATTAATACCACACAGCACTATTGTTTAATTCATTTTGTTTAATATCTACTGCTTCTACCTTTTTCTTTTTATTAACACACATTTATTGAACAATTTTTATATGTAGGATATAAAGTATACATTTAAAGATAAAATATGTCCCTTGCTTTCAAGGAAATTGGACATTAGCAGAGAAACAGATACAATTAACTATTGCCCTAACTAAAATATATTAAGTGTCAAAAGAACGATCTAAAAAAATGATATGACATTTCAGAGAATGAATCAGATAAGAATATAAAATGATTTTTATTTTATTTTACTTTGTGAATAGTGAGATACTCCTGAAACGTTTTGAGTACCTAAATAGCTTGATCTGATTCATTTTCAGAATCACCTCTCTAAATAAAAAGGAGACTGAAGGGGAATAACAATTTTCCTAAGGTAAATCCTAAAAGAAAAGAGATGTTGTAAACAGTAGTAACAACTTTGTAAGTCAAGGATTTGATGTTTGGAAGTCACATTCCCCTTAAAAGATTACTGTTTGTCCATGCTTTCTCACGAGGCACACTGTTGATGGGGATATTATTAAAAATATTTAGTGACTGGCATGACACAGGAGCTGGCAAAACAGGAAACTGACCAATAAAAACAGACAAGGTCATATATTTGTAATTAACAGGTGTGACCATATTGATTTGGGGTGGCTGGATGTCAGAGCTGTTTTTTGACTCTTGTTTTGTATCCAGGGATCCCATGATTTGAAAAATTTTAATTGTTAAACACATTTCATTAAGTAATAAGTAAATTATTTTCCAGTTTCTTAATTGAATGCCGATCTATGAGTTACATCAGCTTAAGATTAGTATAACAATGAATTGGTACAATTTTAGTAGTATTTGTAAAAATGGGAGAATCAGTTGGCTTAAATGGGTGTCCTTATATTAAGCAAATGTATAATTTCATTTAGCATTTTAAAATATTAAGAATATTAAAAATGTTTACATAACTTTATCAAATTCCTAGGAAATTGCGAACAGCTGTCCTCCATTAATAATGTTGATTTAAGTAACGTGCCTCATAGCCTAGAAAGGCTTTTAAAGTCAATTTCTATCTCTTCCTAATATACACATACACACAAACACACCCCACATATACATGTATACATAGCTGTACATATCTATAAGTATAGATTTTACATGAATGTCTTTGTAATTGATATGTTCTTTGGTTACCAAGGTATTTACCACTCCCTTTTGCCTTACACATTTATGTTACCCACCTGGCTTCTGAAAACATACATGTTTTTATTCCCAATTTAGATATATTTTTGGTGACAACACTTTGCCCATGTCAAAATTCAATTTCAGTATAATGAATCATGCCATGATAGAGTTTTTAAAATCTATACTTGGCTTCAACTTTTGAAACACTATTAATTCAGATTTTACTATTTATATCTGCTTGAGTTGAATTCACCTTCACTTCCAGTACACACACATTCCATTTTAGTTCAAAGATTTTCTAACTCTTTGAAATTCCAGTATTGACCGTCAGAGATTCTAAAAAGCACATTTGACTTTTTGTGCCATGTAAAACTTCTCTTTTTAACTTTTGTTTCGATTCTTCCTTTTACTTGCCTCTCCTACCCCTCCACTGAAACCAGTTCTCTCAAAACTACCTGCCCCCAACCTCTGCCAAAGGAAAAAAAAGCATCTGTGATCTTGAGTACTTAGTGATGGTGCCCTTGACCCATATGCACATCCAGGGACCAACAGGCAACATTCTTGTGCCACCTTGGCTTGCCTGTTACCTTTCTGCCCACTCCTTTCCTCCCCTGGGACAACTTGCTGATGCTGCCACTAAGTCTCGTCTAAGAAATGGCAACATTGTGCCCTAAATGTGCTGGCTTTCCCTTCCCATTGTACCTTGTAAAGATCATGGGTAATTTTAGTAAGGGCAAAGTAGTAAAAGGGCAACCAGAAGAATGCTGAATGCTTACAAGCCCAGTGGCAGATATAATGTCTTTTTGATGAACATTAACGATCTAGGGTATACTTCAGCGAAAGCACATTATAAGGACATCGAGAGAGAACATTATGACCAGCACCTGTAATTCTTGCTTATATTCACAAGAACTGAATATCCTTGTGTGCTGACCTTTGCATTGCATTGCTAATGTTAAGTAAGAGAATGAATGGGAAACAAATGGTAGTATTTGGGGATGTTTTTCTTTCCTTTTTTAAGAAAAAAATGGCAAATGGTGTGGATACACTTGCCACAGAACATAAAAGCATAAGAGTTCTGGCTGTTTGAGGGGAAAACAAAAAGTTGATTTCTTTTTTCAACTGTAAAAATTAGCCAGGTTCTCCCAGGAGCTTAAAGAAAAAAAAAGCTTTGAGAAATGGGAGTGAGTTACAAGAGATGGTTTGTGTAACAAGTTCCTCAAACCACAGAGGTCACATGGGCTCTTTCTGCTTTGCTACTTTTGATTACTTGTCAGAGTTGTACTTTTAGCTTCCCCCACCTGCAAGGCCACTCAACCATGTGCTAGCTGGAGTGATCTTTATTCACAATGTCTTTACAAAGGCTCCTGCAACACAGCAGCAATGGCAATTTGGCGGACTTCTGTGCTGGGCCAGCGTATAACTCTTACTCCACACTCACAGGCAGCCTTACAATGGACGATAATAGAAGGATTCAAATGCTGGCAGACACAGTGGCTACTCTGCCTCGGGGAAGAAAGCAGGTATGGTTGCTGTTTTGTACCCTTTAGAGTGTTCATGTTCTCTTGAGAGTAGAATGGTATGTTTGTCTGACTTCATACTAACAGTGATATTTTAGAGGCTTTGGAATTAGTGGCTGATTATGTGGGTGGAGGAGATGAGATGCTCACAGAGCTAGGTGAAACAGTCTGAAGACTTGAGACCACAATCAAACTTTTTTTCAAGGCAAAAATTACGATTGTTTTTCTCATTTGAAGAAGTGCTCAGATAAAATAAAAATCATTAAGCATAACAAACTTGAAGATGGTTTATATAGATGCAACCAGTGTGAGAATTAATGATCATTTCCCCATTGTGTCTCCACTGATTCTTTCCCTTCCATCCTCACCCAAAGTCCTCGATGGTCATTTCAGTTCATAAGCAAATAAAAAATACATTTTTGAGGACAAATTTTGTTGACTAAGTTAAATATCTTCATCTCTAGGGCTCTGGGACATGCCTCGTGCTATTGGAAAGTAAGATTTTTTTTTTTGAATAGTTGATTGCCAGATTCAATATCAGCTTACCACTTAGTGGCTGTGGGATCTTGAACAAGCCTCTCCTCTCTAAGCTTCAGTTTCCTTTTTTCTAAAATGGGGATAATAATAGAACTACCCTTATTGGATTCTTATGTTGCTTAAATAAGGAACTGTGCAGTGCTTCACACAGTGACTGACATTCAGTGCGTGCTTATTAAATGATAGGTTATGCTATTTTTAGTATTTTCATTGCAAAGTTTGTCTCTAGGGATGAAAACTCATTTGGAAAAATCTATGTCTAACTGAATTTATTTTGATTTTTTGTTCTTCAATTTCTAACATGTAAAAAAATTTTTTAACCATAATACCCCTTCAGGATTTTCTTATACAACTTGCTCTAAATCCCCAGGTACATATTTGAATTTCAATATAGCATTTGTACAGAAAATATTTAGAATTTCCATAAAGCAAGAATTTTTGCGCTTAAGTCTTGCATGTACATCATGTGCTTCTCTTAAGCCTTCTAAATTCAGGATTAGAGAGATATGGCATAGTGGCAGAGACATGGCCTTTTTCAGTGATGTATATAGCTGATTCCTTGGTATTTTTCACAATGAAGATAAGGGCATAATTTTCCAAGATTTGGACTATTGATTGTTTTCAATCTAAAAGTTTGTTTTTATTTTACAAGCTTTAATGTAATGATAAACGTTTTATCAGTCTACAACCTGTCTGAAAATAAAGCAATGTGAGAAGTGCCGACACCTTTATTCAGTTTTCAGATATAAAGCAGTCAGATTTTCTTTATATTTGCCATGAAGCTATCACACTATGTTCACTATGATTTATTTATTTATTTATTTATTCTAGAGAGAGTGGGTACTTTCTGAATCAGGGTGGGAACTTTCCATGCTCTCTGTTCTCCATACCTGCAACCTCACTCATTTGATCCACTCTCTAGCCCATGCATTTCAATGCATCAGATGGTTTCTGAGCACCTACAAGGAGACAGACATCGTGCTGAGTGTAGGAGGGGTAAAAAGACGAGAAGGGAATGTTTCCTGCCCATATACTGTTTGCAATTCAGTAAGCAGAAAGAATGGATGTCACGCAAAGTAAAACAACATGCATATTCTCATCCAAGTGAAACATCTTTAAATACAGCCTTGGAGATAGATATTCCAGATATTGAAGGGCATTCCAGAACAAAGGAGAAATTGAAGCTGAGGCACAGATTCTAGTGCCTGCAGGACTTTTTTTGTATAACAGCACAATATTTAGGAGAACCTGGTTAGTGTGTAGGAGGTGAGAGGAGACCTCAGAGCTGGGCTGCTTTACAGAACAGTTGGACAACTTCCCCTGAAAAAGCCAGCACAGAAGACCTCTGAACGTGTTTGAGAAGTAGAGGATTTCAGGAACCTTGTTCCTGAAATGTGGTGGATTAGTGAGTAGAGACTCGTAGTGAGGGAGGAACTTTTGCAGTAGTTGGAGAAAGAGGAAATGGGGAAACAGAAAGGAGACTGAAAGACTTTAATATGAAAGGGACTAAGATGGAGGAGTCACATCTGGTTTTAAGCCAGGGTGAAGATAGCGTGAACTGAAAGAAGGCAATCAGTAGGAGAGGCTGATTATCAGAGGAAGATAGAGATGGATTTTGGCATATGAAATGCACATGTGTGTATATGCATATGTGTATATGCACACAGGCACACACACATCCCCATACAAATTAATTTATGCAGATGTTCTTATCTTTTCTAGGTCTTCTTATTCCCCTTCTCTCAAATTCTTTCACGTGGTAGACTCCTCCTATTCAAATGGCTTTTTCTTACTGTTGTGAGAATTGCTTTAAAAAATAGCAAAACAAAACTTCTTGTACATGATAGTTCTGATTCCGTACAATTATCATCAATGAGACTTGATGCAAGTTTATCCCAACATTTCACAATCTTCCAAATGGATGTTCATTTCCTTTAACTGGTTTTTAGAGAATAATCACCCATTTGGCACAGACTAAATTGCAGGCAACAAGATCCTTGTGAGGCAATCACATGAGCAGGTGTTTCTCTGCCTACTGTTATTTTCAACACTTTCAGGGCTGACGTCAACAGCTCATACTTCTTGTTATTGTTGGCTTTGGTTTCTGCAAAGCTATATCTGGTTAGCTTTAGTTTCAAATTAGTCTTCAGAATCAATTGGGTGTTTACACTCAGAGTTATTTAAAAATAGATTTCTCTGTGTGCATATTATCTCAATACCTGTACTTGTAGGAAGTGTCAGACACCCCAGTATGGCTTCTACTTGGGAACACAGTTTTAGGGCAAAAAAAAAAAAAAAAATCTCTGCAATGGAAAGCTCTGTAGGAAGGAGACAGGAGGAATTAAGGACAGTCTTTATCGATGATGCCAAAGGAGTAGTGACTGTGTCTTACCACCCACTCTCATAACAGTAGTACGTTGCTTTTGGAAAGCAGTTTTTACAGAATGCTATAGTGAGAACTAGGGAACGAACAAACAAGTCCACAAACTTTAGTGGTACCACAGACTGACTGTCGTTTCCTAAATTTCTTTCAGTTATCTCATTATTACTACATAGGCTACTTCTGGAAGGCTGATTTCATCTACAGGTTCAGATAGGGAGTGTGTGCTCTATTCTGCGATGTGTACACTGCTGGGCTGGGTTCCGCCCTACAGTGGCACACCCATCAGGTGCTGTAACTCCAACTGTCCTAAACTGCACCAAAGATTTTAAACACCTCCTGACAATTTCAGGTAGAAAATTTTGCTAATTTCACAACAAAAGACTTTGAAAATTATTCTTCAATCCATATTGTGGCATGCTTGGTCAATATCGAATAATGTTTCTTGAAGAGGTCTGTGAGCCCACAATCAGATCTTCCTTGGAAATGGCAGTATTGTACTTAGGTTTCCCCGGGCACTTAATGTTAGGAAATTAAGTTCAGCTCTATTATTTTGTTGCATCTTTGAATAGTCTGAGGAGCCTTAATATCCTAATGCTCCTTACTTAAAAGGGTGTGGGGGTTGCATGGGAGAATTGGGGAGTGAGGAAGGCGACTGGAAAGGGAGAAGAACACATAATTTTGGGACCTTTGAAACAAGCAACAATGACAAAAAACTTCACTCCCGAATTAGTATTCTCTCCCCAGCACCCTCCCAAACACTTTCAGGAAATAAGAATATAGAGTGGGGACCAGGTAGAAGTAACCCCCTGTAACTTAGCCCCAGAAGTGGCTAGTGTTGAACTTTGAGCTTCTCTGCGGAGCTGCTGACTACTCCTATCTTTCAAAAATCGACAGCTGAAGTATTTGGTCTTGGTTTCTCAATGAAGAGGAATGTGTGGAATCACTGTAGAGTAGAAAAAATTACATTTTGAATATTAATGCCTGAACTTTTAAGTCATCTGACAAAAAAACAGAAGAGTGATTGTAAGCCCAACCCTAGGTATCAATGTATTATGGTTAGCAAGGAGTTAAGAAGCTTTGTCTATTCAGCAGTCATAATTGAATGTGTAGTTTGCAAGCCTGCCAAATTGCTAAACCTAGATTTCTCATATTAGATAATGTGTAATAAAAGACAGCTGTTGCCAGCATATGCTGTGAATTGCACACCATTTCCTCATTCATGATTTTTGGTGCCATCAGTACAACCCTTAGAAAAGGTTCTGGCTGGGAGGGTTGACTGGGGAACATAAACCTCACTGGTCAGATTCTTGAATAGGCTGCTCGCTCTAGGGAAACACATGCAGGAAAGGCTTTCTTTCCCAAAGTGCAAAACCCTTGATAAGACCTTAGACACACTTCATTTCACTTTAGGCAGGTAGTTTGGTGTGTGAGCTAGGTTGGACCCTGGGAACATTGCTTTCCACATCGCCTGAGTCTGACAGCCCAGATCAAAAACAAGCAGGCTTTGTGTCAAGATGTGACACGTGTCAGAGAATTTGATGGTGCTTAATTTATTTAAATTGTTCTTTTGTTTAAGTATTAGGTGCTTGAAACAGCCTTGCAGCCAATATAGAATGGAAACTAATTTGTAATTTGACTTAATCTGACTTTTGGTGTTGCTGATAACCCAAATCAGCCAGTCTACAGAAATTGAACATCTGCTACGCTTCTCATGATGTGCTAGACAAATATTTTCATCTGTAACTAGTCAATTAGCTAGATAGAAAGGTTAGAAGTAGAGTGGTGGGGAAATCTCTGTTCAGGTTTCAGGTCTGTCCTGTGGATTAAAAGATTTTACGTTTGAATCTATCCAGAATGACTTTTGATTCAAAAGACAGATTTGATGAAATCTTGAAGTTCCTAGTAGATGTACTGATTTCTGGCATAGTAAAAGGGCATTTAAAATTGACAAGGCTCAAAATTTTGCTAATAATTTAGTAATTCTTGTCACCATTCATCCACTTAGCAGCCATCTACTAAGGCACTACTATCTTTGTTTTCTATTAGTACTTTTTCTACACTTTTTGTTTTGGACTGAAATTTTTTTGCTCTTGTCTCTTTTCTTTCATTTTAGATCTTTTTGAGTTTTAAAATTTATATTTATTTATTTAGTTGATAATAATCATACATATTCATGGTATACATAGCAATGTTTTGATACACAGAATGCATGGTGATCAGATCACAGTAATTAGCATGTCCATCATTTCACACATTGATCATTTCTTTGTTTTGGGACTGTTAATATCCTCCTTCTAACTATTTGAAACTAGTACATAATATATTATTGTTAACTATAGTTATCCTACAGAATGGAGCACTAGAACTTATTCTTGCTATCTAGGTATAATTTTATATCCTTTAACAAATGTGTCCCTATCCGTTTTTTCCCCCTACCCTTCCCAGCCTCTAGTATCCTCTGTTCTACTTTTTACTTGTATGAGATCAACTTTTTTTTAGCTTCCACATATGAGTGAGAACATGTGGTGTTTAACTTTCTATTCCTGGCTTATCTCACTTAACATAATGTCTTCCAGTTCAATCCATGTTGCTGTGAATGACAGGATTTCATTCTTTTTTATGGCTGAATTGTATTCCATGGTGTATATATACCACATTTTCTTTATCCATTCATCTGTTGTTGGACACCTAGGTTGATGCCATGTCTTGGCTATTGTGAATAGTGCTGCAATAAACATGGGAGTGCAGATGTCTCTTCTATATAATGATTTCCTTTCCTTTGGATGAATTCCCAGTAGTGGGATTGCAGGATCATATGGTAGTTCTATTTGTAGTTGTTTGAGGGACCTCCATACTGTTCTCCATAGTGGCTGTACTAATTTGCATTCCCACTAACAGTGTATAAGAGTTCCCTCTTCTCCTTATCCTCACCAGCATTTGTTGTTTATTGTCTTTTTGATAATAGCTATCCTGATGATACCTCATCGTGGTTTTAATTTCCATTTCCCTGATGATAAGTGATATTGAGCATTTTTTCATATATTTGTTAGCCATTTGTATGTCTTCTTTTTCTTTCTTTCTTTTTTTTTTTTTGAGATGGAGTCTTGCTGTCACCAGGCTGGAGTGCAATGACACTATCTTGGCTCACTTCAACCTCTGCCTCCCAGGTTGAAGTGATTCTTCTGACTCAGCTTCTCAAGTATCTGGGATTACAGGCACTGGCCATCATGTCTGACTAATTTTTGTATTTTTATAGAGATGGGGTTTTACCATGTTGGCCAGGCTGGTCTTGAACTCCTGACCTCAGCGATCTGCCCACCTAGGCCTCCCAAAGGGCTGGGATTATAGATGCGAGCCACCACACCTGGCTTTGTATGTCTTTTTTTTGAGAAATGTCTGTTCAGATCATTTGTCCATTTTTTGTTTTATTTTATTTTTTTTGCTGTTGAGGTATTTCTGTTCATTATATATTATGAATACTAATCCTCTGTTAAATGAGTAGTTTGCAAATATTTCCTTCCATGCCACAGGTTGTCTTTTTATTCTGTTGTTTGCTGTGCAGAATCTTTTTAGTTTAATATAATCCCATTAGTTTAATTTTGCTTTTGTTGCCTGTGTTTTGAAGATTTTATTCATAAAATCTCATTCCAATCCAATGTGCTGAAGCATTTCCCCTATGCTTTCTTCCAGTAGTTTAGGTCGTACATTAAGGTTTTCATTCATTTACTCATTTTCAGTTAATTTTTGTATATATAGAGAGGTATGGTCTAGTTTCTTTCTTCTGCATATGGATATACAGTTGTCTGTTTTCTTTCATTTTTAAATCTTGCTACATATTAGATTTTTAAATTTTACTTTATGTATTTTAGTGATTATCTTTGATTTTTTCTATACTATTGAATTTAATAAAGGACAATGTTGAAGACTATCTTTACATATTTCTCCCGAACTTGAATATTTAACTTGGCTCTTCAACCACCTCAGTTGCTTTCATTTTTGTTTAGTAGTTTATTTATTTTTATCTATTTCTCTATTTTTAAGTTTCCATTCTATTCCAGGCCCTGTGCTGGGCACTGGGGCAGAAAGTAAAACAAATAACATTCCCCAAGAGGCCCAAAGCACACGGATGATTATGTACAGATTTGAAGTATTTGATCCAGTGTGCATTTTATATAAATATATACATATATCTATAAATATATATAGCTCTCTATATATGGATATATGAATAATATGATGAATACTGATAGCAAGAGTAATATTTTAAAAATATAAGCCCTTATTTATGGATGCATAAGAAACTTTTATATAAAGAATAAAAGAGCCCTACTTATGATTATAGAATTTGAATTAAGGGTGGAAAACAAGCAGATGAAGATAGTCAAAATAGATTAAGAAAATATGAGTACAATATAAAGGAGAGACTGAGAATGCTTGGAAATAAGTTTGTTGCTCTCTTCTGAAAGGAGACTCACTGATATAAATGAATTGTCCCTATGCTTGTTAATGGTATACACAAGGTGCAAAATCAGGTTACAACAAACCATACCAATCCTTGTAGGCATTCCACAGGTAGTGCTTATAAATTGAAAAGAGATACTTTTTAGCAAGACTGAAGAATCTTTTTGGGTCGGAGCAATTTATTTCAGTCTTCAGTGCCATATAAGTGAGTTGAAGCCCAGAACTAACCAAAGAGGACAATATAATTAATTACAGCAAATGGGTAAGAAGAGATCACCTCTCCATTACATTAGCTTTACTGACTGGTGGCTGAATTCTTAACACTGGTCCATTACAGGAAATTTGTGAAAATGCTGACATTTGGTACCTGGTAATTCAAATTTCCTACAGTGGTGTAGGCTTCACTCCTAAAGAATGCCTTAATGAGCATTTCATTTGTGTAACATGTTACATAAGCATTAATATTCTATGTATTTTTCTCCTTCTGGTTTCATCCTTTACTTATTTTGCTTTGTCTAGACTGACTATGCATTGATCTCTTGATGTTTTTGTGCTCATGTATATATGACAACCATTTTAGGTCGACAATTAAAAATCACAGGTTAGCTAGTAGCTTATGTTTTGGGCCCTTGAACCAACACTTTAGAATAGGGCTAATAAACATTTTATGAACAAACAAACAAAACAAACAAACAAACAAGAAACAAATGAAAAAAACCCACAAAAACAAAAACCTAGTACAATTTTCCTAAAAAATATGTTGCCACCTTTTGTTGACGTTTCTTATGTTTACAGTGGTAGAATGTGTCCTGAAAGCTTAGGTTTATATGATCTTTTCCAAAAGTGCAGAGGAATGAAGGTGATATTATTTATACCATTTATACTATTCTGAGCTTCCTTTTCTTCCTTGGCTGGAAATTGCACTGCATTCTTTCAAAACTATTACAAAAATAAATCATAAGCAGAATTGAGATTTTGAGTTCCTGGTTTCACCTGAATTGTGTTTCTGTGTGTGTTGGTTGTTTAGGGATTATTTTATCCCACTAAAAACAGTAACATAATGAACCATTATAATAAACACAGTCATTTCAGCATCATCTCCAAAAACTATAAAGTTTTCAGGTTTCATATGCCATTCTATGTATGCTGTTTTTCTTTGGATTTCAGTGTGATTACAAATTGTTATGGGGAATCTTTCAGAGGCTGTTTTAAATACACATCAGAGATGAAGTTCTCTTTGGAAGCTTTGGAGTTTTGCCACATTATATTAACTCTTTTGCCACATTGTATTACTATCTAAGACTCTCTTAATCTTTTCATTGGAATGCCTAGAATCCCATCTCCCCACTGTCCTCTGCTATCACTAGAGAACTGAAATGGCTGCCTTTACGCAACAATTTCCCAGGAGCTGGACCAAAGAAGGTGATAAATAACTGTGTGTGTGTGTGTGTGTGTGTGTGTGTGTGTGTGTGTGTGTGTGTGTAGTGAGAGAGAGAGAGAGAGAGAAAGAAAGATGTTTAGAACATTTTACAGTGTATCTTGAAGACCCTGAGATAACTATATGCTTTTTTGTATTTTTCAGCTTGCTTTAACCAGATCAAGTTCTTTAAGTGACTTTTCCTGGTCTCAAAGGTAAAGAGATTGAATTATTTTTTTTGTCTCTCCCAAAATATGCTCTCCAGACTATTTCTCTCTTCTTCTCTCTCTCTCTCTCTCTCTCTCTCTCTCGCACACACACACAGATGCACACACACACATAATCTTACATACTACAATTTACATAAATGTCAGTTATTTTTAATTGTGACAGTTATTTTTAATGATAAATCTGTGCCAAATGTGATACTTTGATTTTCATACAGTTTCTTTCTTAAACATTTTTATTACAGAAAGCTTGTTACTGTGGAGAAGCAGGATAATGAAACATTTGGATTTGAAATTCAGGTGGGCAGTTTTCACATTTTCTAGACTTCCAAGGAAGAAAGTGTCATGTTATGTGCAAAGGAAAAATTAAGTTAGGATTAGAGAATGGTGGAGTCTATGATTTTTATTCAGTGTGTGTTGTTTGGGGGTAGTTTTTCAGTGTGTTGCGTACTATAAAGGAAAGAAAACATTGAGGATAACATAAACCCCCCGAGATTTGCTCAGCAGTTTGTGCTTCGTTGCTTCAGTCTTCCCTTCAGTCCCAGACTGATCAGAAATAGTTGGTATCAGCCAGGTCTTAGATCAAAGAGTGAAATACATTTTACAGATGTGCATTTTATATATTTGCATTTTGAATATGTTTTGCATAATCATATTGTTATACTGTATATCAGATTTTAAATATTTTACTTTGGCATTCAAGAGATACTCAAAAGACTATGCATCTGTTTGTATGGAACACATATATTCATGGATGCTCCTGGTACGTTTTGCTACTAAAGAGTTCATATTGTACATAATGAGAAATTTATAGCTTTTTTTCTCCTAATGACAATGCTTTATAATTGTTATTTGAAACACTTGAGAACATTTGGCTCTACTTGCAGATTGCCTCATGCTGTAGGAAATTTTTAAGTCTTTATAGGTTTCAGCATAATTGCCTAAGAATTTCATTGCTTATTTGCTGTCTGCTTTTTCATGACCACATTTGTAAAGCGGGTGAGGTTGGTCAAATGAAGTGTAACCCAATTAAGTGCAACAGTAGTAGCTTAAGCATTTCTGGTTTTTTTCCATAGTACGTTTGCATGTCTTTTGGATGTGTTTTGCATAATCATATTCTTACACTCTATATCAGATTTTAGATCTTAGCTTTAGTGCTGCTTTCAGAAAACTTTGGTGTGATATCAGCCCCACAATTGGAAAGTCGGTGTGTATTTTAAGATTAGGAACAGGAAGCTGCTAAGCAAAACATGTTTTATGAGTAAAGAAACAAAATGAGACTCAAGCTGCAATGAAGAGAGAGAAGGCACTAGGAGAAAAGAGGATCACTTCTACTTTCTGAACTCTTCTACTTTTAAATTTGGTGAAATCTGTAATTTACCACAGTAATTGGTGAAATCCATTAGGTTTTAGAAGCATAGTACTCACTCTTATTCCCCAGTTATATGAAACACTCCCTATTCTGTTGTAGAGACACTGCTTTTTGTCACTGTTTCTTTTTAAAGGAGAATATCCTCAAGGATGTGCAGCAGTGGCTACTAAAAACAGGATAAATGACTACTCACCTTTATTTTTCTTACACTGCTATAATATATGTCACCACTTTCTTAAGTTTTTCTCCCACACCATAAACACTTATTCTCCATGGAGCAAGAGTCGAAACTATGTCAGGCCACAGCACCCCTGAACCTTTGTAGATCAACATAAACTAATGGCTATACTTTTAAATAGCAGCATGTATGTGTTATCTCCGTGATGCAAGAACCCATACCCCTGTAAATTCTCTTTGGTATATGCTCCCTATTGTCAAATACACATCATAATCTATTCCCTAGTACTCATCAGATTTGCAGCAGTCAACAAATAGGAGAAATGCTTCTGGGAACTTTTGAAGATCAGATACAACTTCATGTACGCATACTGTGGATGCAGTGTGGATACATATTTTGGATCTGGCCTACCACTTTGGAAGAGACCAGATCTATGGTTCTCCATGGATGCTAGCTTTATGCTATTTATGAGAATCATGCAGCATTATAGGAATGCAGACTTTGCACTCATGCTTACCTGAATTCATATCCTCTCGATGGTTGCCTTATGGGATCCTTAGGAGATTTAAATGAAACAATACATGTAATATACCTAGTGATGTTCCTGGTACCAACAGAAGATCCACAAATGACAGATGTTAGAATGAAGGTCATTGGTCATGAGAAAGGTCAAAGAGATCTTCATGTCTCTAAGAAATACGTGTGATCATTATGTCACTGGTTCATTAATGTCACTGATTACTTAATGGGAGCTAGAAGACTGGGTAAAGGAGAGAAGTATCTGATTAATTCTTTCTATAACTTTGGGGTTTCTGTTTTTTTCTCTCTATCACTAACTCCCAAATTTTACACCCAATGTGAATAAATATGGAGGTGCCAGCTACATAAATCAGCATGTTTCCACTGCACTGTACTCACTTGGATCCCTGGGAATGGAGGGTAGAGTCTCATTGCTAATGCGAATTGGTAGAACAGTGGTTTCCCAAAGGAGTGTCAGTTATATCTTTTGTTCATGTACCACATGAACTAGATCAGCCTTTCATCTCCAGATGGTCTAGGCTGTACTGAGAAGACCTCTGGCAGGAAAGCTGTTAATGAAATTTCTGGTAGATGGGAATGTAGTGCACGATCTTTAAAGTCTCTTCTACATTTAAGATATGGGGATTCTAAGTGCCTTATAGATTAGATAGAAATCCTTTAGAGGTGAACAGACCCAAGTTTCTAGAAGTTGCTCGCATATGGCTGACTTATGGTGCCTCAGAGATTATTGAATAAGAAGGAATGAACATCAGACATTATTTTCTTCACAAGGAAGTAGTACTTTAATGTAGCTTGATTTTAGGAATCAGATGTTTAGGAATATCTGAGTACGTCTACTCAGAACACTGATTTTGCTTTTAGGTAGAACTGGACTTCATAATTTAAATGTGTGAAAAAGAAAATTATATTTGTTATAGGTCATTGGGACACTATATCTTGCAAACATCTATTCAGTGTTTTGGTGTAATTAAAAAAAAAACCCACCACCACTAAACTGCTTGTGCCTAATTGAGGCAAGAATCGAAGCTTAACTTTTTCTAATTTAGTTGGGTGACTAATGAACCGGTGAGGATTCAGGACAGGCATACCAGAGGGTGCTCAGAAATGAAGGTAATTGAGTCAATTATAGTACTTTTGAATAAATGCAGGGCAGATTGTCATTATGTGCAGAACTCTGATTTAAAATAATCATTGTTGGCATGTCTCCTTGTTGCATGTGTACAATTTCATACTCCTATAATGAGCGTTTTAGCTTGGGAGAACTGCTTATGGATTTTTCTCATTGCACTTGGCCATCGTTGTTTTATCCCATTGGGAAATGAGAAACTCAATTTTTTAAAATAAATATGTAATCATGACAGCATCAGGTGATATCTTGGGCTTGAAAATGTAAAATCTTGAGCCACTCTCATTTCACATTCTTTCTTATGACAGATGTCTTTATGAATGGAGTTGGCTACAGATTGTCTGGTAGAATTGCAAAATTGATACCTTGATTCAGTTTATAGTGGAAATCCTTTCCAAATTGTCCTTTGAACTTACCTATTATACTGCTTAATGGTAATTGACATCATTTTATTTTTTGGCAAATAGATGTTGAGTTTTTTAAATAGTAACTATGTATCACCCGAATTTTTACAGACTTACAGGCTCCAGAATCAGAATGCCTGCTCCTCGGAAATGTTCACTTTGATATGCAAAATACAGGAGGACAGCCCAGCTCACTGTGCTGGCCTGCAAGCTGGTAACTTACATTTTTGTTCATGTTAGGAATCATTTAAATAGCAAGAAAATAAAATGTTTTGAGAGTGAAGGTCAGGATGTATTTGTTGCCTTGAATTTTCTTAGCTCCTTTATGTTTTTAAGACTCGGAGCTGCTTGTTTCAGTTGCATGTCAGGAGGGATTATTTAACTAACCAACATAACATTCATTTTTCTTGGCATCTCCCAGGTGATGTCCTTGCAAATATCAATGGTGTGAGTACAGAAGGTTTTACCCACAAACAAGTCGTTGACCTGATCAGATCGTCTGGAAACCTGCTAACGTAACTATCTGTTTAGTCCCATGGGGCTTCAAAATGTTATGGTTTCTCATAATGTCTGATGAGTGAATAAAAAGCCTTTTTGTTCAGCATCACAAGGCAGAGGCGGGCGGCAGTGCATCGGAGCTTTAGTGCTGGGTACAAACATTATCAGTTCCTTTTGTTTCTCAAGATTCCTCAAACTTGAACACACTGTCAACATCTGAAGTCAGAGGACATATTAGCCCAAATGTCTGTGTGGGAAGGATGGCCTTTAAAATGTATTTTTTATGTCAAATCCAATTAAACTGGCACCCATTCTTTTTAAACTGGGAGGAACTGATCTAATTTCCATGGTTGATGTAATCTTGTAGCTAAAACAAATAAAAGGTCAGAAGGGCTGAGTTTTTCCTCTTATGCGACAAGCCACCTGTTTTTCTCCACTAGTGTTCCATTTGGAAGGAAGAGTAGTCTGTTCAACCCTTCCCACTCTGAAACACACATATACCACATGTTCCAAATATTTCAAACTTCTTGATAGAATAGTGGCTTTTCCAATTAGAGATTTGATTGACTTTTCTACTATAACAATACCAGCACCTAATAAGATCTTATTAGGGTAGTTACATGATGAAATTCACTCGTTCGTTAAAATCATATTTCTTGAGCAAATACGTTTCCAGCTCTGTGATAAGCTCAGGAGAGACCAAGATAAAGACTCTCTTAGTATGTTAATAATTATGGAAGGAAATGGCTCAGAAAAGCCTGAAATTTAAGTGGTGTTTATATTTCAGTTATTGATAACTACCATGAGAAAAGTGCAAAACAGCAATGGCCTGTCATGCTGAGTAAGGAGGCTGCTAGTTTGGCTTAGATGTGTAAAGTGAAAATATCTTTTTTAGGGAGGCAATATTTGAGTTGAGATCTAAATGAAGAGAAGGATGGTCAAATGGACCCCTGGTAAGAACACTTCAGGCAAAGAGAGAGGTCTCTGAGTTCTCAAAATGGGCTTGGCACGTACAAGGGAAAGAGAAAAAGTCAGTGTAATTGGTAGTTGATGGATTAGAGAGGGTGTAATAGGATATGAAGCCAGAGAGTTGGCCTGGGGGCAGACTATGGATCTCTTTGGCCATGCCAACAAATTTGGGTTTTATTCTGATTAAGGTGGGTCCTATATTGTCTCATTTATTCTTCACAGCCACTTGTGAGGTTAGTTTTATTTCTATTTATGGATGAAGTGCCTGAAGCTTAGAGAGGGCTTAGTTAAGGTCACACAACTAGTAAGTAATAGGGCTTGGATTTGACCACCTGCTCTGGATGCCAGGATCTGTCCTCTTCAGCTACAGCTGCTCCTTGGAAGCTGCCAGTAGAAAATCTGCGGGATGCTCTTCAGTGATTCTGGTCTAAAACTTCAAAGGATGCTTTTGGTGTTTCTGCAAGTAGATTTGAAAGATGGTGGTGGCAAATAATTGAGTCCAACTCTATGGGTCCTGTGAGTTCAGGGTAAAGGACGGGGCACTTTTGCTCTAGAGAACCCTGGATCCAAAGGAGAGGAACCATGGCGAGTGTGAGGGGAGCTGTTGGTGGTTAGAGTCAGAAAGCATGTTCCACATGGGTGAAGAGGGTAAAGCACAGGTAAATAGGGGTGGCAGGTGGAGGTAATTGTTGGAAATTCACGGAAATGGGAGACAGTCTACACAAATACTGAGGAAAACGGCCTATGAATGGTTGCAGTTTTGCCCACACACATCTATTACTTCAGCAGGTCAAATTGACATTCAATCACAATTAAACAGATTCATATGGATTCCCACTATTTCTTAGAGAGTCAAGATTACCTTAAGGAGCAAACAGACAGCATTTTGGCTTGCTACCATCTGATTATCTCTGGAATGAGGTTATAAGAAATAGAGGAAAACTGAGTTCTGCGTTTAATGCTTTTACCATGCCTTGAAACACTTCCTTGCATCTTTATAGAATTATAGCTTAATTACAAGAAGGGGCTTCAACCAACACTTTAAAAATTAGTGTGTGATTCACGAATGAAATTTTTAAATCATATTCAGATTGATGGCTTAATAGTCAAAATAAAAGCCTTTAACTTGAGCACACAGAACAAATCAAAATCACTTAAAGTGGAACAAGTATTTTATTTTTAGAAATAAGTGTGGTGTAGGAAGAACAGAACACCGGTAAGTTGATAATTCTAGGATTAGCATTTGTAAACTGAATGTTTTGAGATGAAAAAGTCGTATGAAGGTTACTATCTCATAGTAGTTGTAGTCTGTTTCTTCTAGTACCAAAATTATATGGAGATTTACAGGGGTAAAGCCTCCTAGAATCCTGAGGAGGAAATAATTTCTCCCTCTTTCAAAAAGTAACAGGTTAATCCACAGTTGTGAAAGCCCCTAGTGCCTACTGTTTCTGTCGTTGTACCCCTTGTGTTCAGCATGGTGTCTAGAATCTGGCACATAGTAGATGCCCAATAAATATTTACCAAATGAGTGAAGTGATTCAGGCCATCCCCACAAGAACAGATTCTACTAGAGATCAGCCATCATTGTCACATGGTGACGTCTATAAAATGAGCTGTAGTTTACAAATTAACTAGGATCCTTTCTCTTAGCCACCTTCTCAAGGGGAGTTTTCCCCCATTTTCTTTTTCTGAATGTTATCAGAAGATTTGGCCTTGGTCCAGCTACTCGAAGTGCCATGAGAACTGTAGCATTTATATTTTGTTTTTAGCATAGTGTGTGCTCAAAGTGTAGTACTCTGTAATATGGTACTTATTTAAATGAATCACTCACGTTACTCACTCCCTCCTCTTTTTTTTTTTTTCCTTAAAACAGGATAGAGACTCTTAATGGAACAATGATTCTCAAAAGAATGGAGCTTGAAGCAAAGCTGCAGGTTTTAAAGGTAATTTAATTTAATGCAGTGAGGCACATTTTTCATCCTTGAATGTGTGAGTGGTAAAATAAAGATCTATTTGAGGAACTGAGATAGCCCTTGAAAAAGAAATGCCATGATGAATCTGAACTGCTGAATTATCAAGAGCCATGCAATTATCTTTGGAGGAATATCAAATTCTGCAAACCAATATAAATCACTTTCTTCCTTCCTCCTTCTGTGTGTCTATGAGGCTCAGAAAGGCAACAGGAAGGCACACCACTTGAAGAACTCTTCATTAGCGCACCTGTGATCTCTCTTGATTTACATTTTGTTTGGAATTAAAGCAAAAAAGGTCATTATTTTCCCAAATATGTCAGAGGGTCTGGGTTTTTCATTTTTTCCATGTCCTCTTTTGGTGTCCTTCTCATCTGCCTCATTCTTAAAACCAAAACCTTATCTGTCTAATCCTGTGACTGTCCTTGAATCTGCTTTCGTTGGAAAATACACTAACAACTTCAAAGGAGAAATAAATTAGTGTCTAAGAGATAGTAAATAATGGAGGATGTTCAGTGAAAATTCCCTGGGATAGTTTTTTGAGGCTCTTAAAAATCTCAGTTTTCTGGGCTGATGAGGGTCTCCTAAGCCATGAAGTCCAGACCCTCACTCATGCATGTGAGTTAGAGTTCTAAAGACCTCTCTGCTTGTCTCAGTGACCTCTGCATCCCTATTCTCCCACTTGCATAGCAATGAGGTAGCCAATCTGAACAGAGATTGTAGTTTACTATAGGCAGGTTGCTCACTCCAGCTTTATTTAGAAATAACTGCCATTTATTAGTTTTCTTCATGAAATATGAGTTTATTAATTATTGAGCCTAAGAGAGTGAATTTTATTTTGCATCTTTTTCTTCCTCCACATCCAATCCATCACCAAGTGTTGCTTTCTTCATCTACATTGGCTTGGATACTCTTGCCACTGTGCTTTTTTCAATCAATTTGTAAAATTCCTTGAAAAAGCCTCTGTTCAAATTTTGATAGGAATTGAATTGTATTCATAAAATAAATGAGAGCAATTAAAATCTTTATGGCTCTTACTTTTCTCACTTTGAATTCAGGATCTCAATCTGTTTATTCATATCTTTTATAGACTTTAAAAATATTTTGTAATTATCTTCCTATATTTTTACATATCTTTTATTATATTTATTATTGTGTACTTCCTCATTGTTCTTGCTATATTCATCTTTTAAATTTTCAGCCACTTATTGCTAATGATTTTGTTTAAATTTTAAAAATCCAGCTTTGTTGAACTCCCTTTATTCTAATAATTTTTATAGTTTCTTATATTTTTATATAAATTTTATATCATTTGCAGATTATAAATATTTTGCCCCTTTAGCTCAATTATTGAAACTAATTATTTTTCTTCTCTTATAGCATTGGCTAGGATCATCAATATATTGTAAATAATGATAATCTTATTGTTCACTTTAAAGAAAATATTTCTAAGATTTTTGTTATTACATTTTTATGAGGAGTAAACAGTGCTCCATATTGTACTTGAATTTAATGTTAATTTGCTTTTGCAAAAGAAAGATAATCTTAGTGAACCTCTTTTTTAAAAAATTGAAACTTTTTCACCTTTTCTTAGAAAAAGAAATATTGAAAACAAGAATAAACAATAGGTTTATATTGTATGGAATAAAGTACTAACTTGCACAAAACATTATTTCATGCCTTTAAGCAATTTCTATTCTTTGCATATTTTTGCCATGTTTCATTATACATATTTACCAAAGTATGAATTTTCAGTTTCTCCATCCTCTTCCAGAACATCATGAGAACCATACAATGCTTTAAATGCCCATTTAAGACCCTGCATTCCTTACTATACTTACTTTAGAGAATTTTTATCAATTTTCTAAAAGTACAAAATGCATATTTATTCTAAATAGATGGTAGTGAATAAATACACCAACTTGTTCCTTTTGATATGCTTGCTGTTGCTTGTTGCATTCTACTCCTTACCTCTGGGTTTACTCTCTTTCTTGCTGTAGTGCTTCCTTCTGTGATGATAAGCAGATTTTTTGTTGAAAAATGTTTTTATTTCACTGCTACTATTGGAAGAGAGTTTTGATGGGTCATTTATTCTAAGTAGGTGTTTAGTTCCCTAAGCACTTTGAATTTATTACTTCTTTCGTATTTTTGTTGATGAGAGAGCTTTTAATTGTTTTTGGCAGGTAATCTATATTTTCTGCTACAGGTTTTAACATTTTTCCTTTTCACATGTAAGTCCTTAATTCATCCAGAATTAACTTTTGTGTATATTATGAGGTACGGGAAAAATTTCAATCTGTTTTTTTTCATGTGAAAATTCTAATTTAGTTTTTTTCCAACTGAATAACCAGTTCTTCTAGTACCATTTATTTTGTAGTCCCCCTTTTACCCTTCAACTGACTTGCAATAAAACCTCTATTCTTTTTTTTTTTTTTTTTTTTGAGATGGAGTCTTGTTCTTTCACCAGCCTGGAGCACAGTGGCACAATCTTGGCCCACTGCAATCTCTGTCTCTTGGATTCAAGCAATTTCCCTGCCTCAGCCTCCTGAGTATCTGGGACTACAGGCATGCACCACCACTCCTGGCTAATTTTTTAAAAAAATTTTATTTTAGTAAAGACAGGGTTTCACCATGGCCTGGATGGTCTCCATCTCCTGACCTCATGATCCACCCGCCTCAGCCTCCCAAAGTGCTAGGATTACAGGTGTGAGCCACTGTGCCCGGCCAAAACCCCTAATTTTAAGCAAGTTCCACATATGCATGGATTTGCTTATAGGCTTTCTAATATGATCCATTGCTCAATTTGTTTATCCCAGATTGTCTATAATAAATCTTGTTATCACATTGACCGTAGTTATTCTTGGTCCTTAGACCATCTATATAAATTATAAAAATAAATCATATATAAATAAATATTGGTGTTTTGATTGATATCAAATTTTATTTACCTATTTTTGGAGACAGGGTCTTGCTCTGTTGCCCATACTAGAGTGCAGCAATGTGATTATAGCTCACTATAGCCTCAAACTCCTGGGTTCAAGCAATCCTGCTGTCTCAGCCTCCTGAATTGCTGGGATTACAGGCCTGAGCCAACACTCATGGCTCTGATAGCACTATGTATATATATAGATCAATTTGAGGAAACTGCATTGTATCTCTAATAAATTATCTGAAGATTACTTTGGGTTTACTGTAGAGATAGTAACTATCTGTATGAATGAGTTTTGCTTCTTTTTCTTACTTTACTTCACAGCTTAGGAGCTACCATACCACAATGATTAGAAACTATAGTTGTAGGCATCCTTGTTTCACTCCTGATTTTAAAGGGAATTCTTCTTAATTTCGTTTCCATTAGGAACGAGCTATACTTTCAGGTTAAGGACACTCCATTCTATTTGAAGTTTGCTTGTAGTTTACAGTATTTGTGTATTAAATTTTGTCAAATACTTTTATTTGCATCTGTTAAGCTGGTCTTCTTATTTATTCATTTGAAAAAAATCTGTTAATATGTGAATGACATTTAAACGTATTCTAATATAAAGCTACCATTTCATCTCTAGGCTAAACTCAACCTGGGTTAGCCTTGAAATTTGTCGTTTGTAATTGTAATTACAGGCTTGATCTGTGAGTATTTTCTTTAGGATTTTAAAAGATAGCTTTGTTTTTCAGGTAAACTGGTCTATAGGTTTCTTTCCTTAGATATCTTTTTAAGTTTTGGAATCAAGTTTACTAGACTCTTAGCATGAGTACCCACATTGACTAATAGTGAGTGGAAGTAAAGTGGATAAAAGGCAAAAAAAAAAAAAAAAAATTAGTTTGTTATTATCTTGTAGTTCTTTTTCATGTCTATCTATTCTTGTTTTATTTCTGAATCATTTCATTTTAAAATTCTTTTTTGATGAGAATACTGTTAACATATTGTTTCAATTTCTTTATTAGTTGTGAGACTACTTAGGATTTCTGTTTTTTTTTTAAAGCCAGTTTTAGTGACTTCTGTTTCTGTTAACAAAATTTTTTAATTTATTAACTGAGTTGACAGTAAAATATTATTCTAATAATTTAAATTTTTGTCAAAAATTGTTTGAGCATGCCTCCATATTTTTTATTGCATCTTATGCCACTTTTTATGCCTTCTTTTTTTTTCTTGATACTTTTCTCCCTTGGATTTTCAAGTTTTAAAAGACCAGTGTTTGTGGCAATATTTAATCCTTTTTCTGATTGCTTTAAGATATTTTTTCGTCTTTATCATTCTACAGTTTTACTACAATGTAATTAATTCTGGATTAATTTCTAACTTTATACTACATAGAAATTACAGAGTTCTTTCTGTTTAAAGACCTTCTTTAGCTTTGGAAAACTGTCAATCTTTTTTGAATATACCTTCTATAACACTACTGTATTATCTTCTGGAATTCCTATTAGACATAGTTTCTTGATTTACCTTTCATGATTCCTAATGACTATTTCATACTTTTATCTCGTTTTCTTTTTGTGTTATATTCTTTCTGAATTCCTCAGTAACATCTTCAGAACTGTTCTTGTTAGCTGTCTGTATAGAATATGTTCTTTGTATTAAGTTATAAAAATTAATTTGTTATAAACTGAGGACTTATATGAAATAAAATTTTAACTAAAAATAGCATTGATGTTGTATAGCTATAGATGAGACTATTGGTGTGAGGTCATATTTTTACTTATATAGACAAAATAACTTCACAATATTTTTATTTAGAATAATATTTCTTTTCTGCTGTATATTTGCTAGCTTCTGATCAAATCTTATGAAAGCTCAATAGAAATCAACAAAATGAATCTTTGTTTTACCCCAAACATTACTGATGCATATGCTTGTTTTCTTACAATCCATTACCTTTTTATGAAAGATTTACTTTTTGAAAGTGTGTTATTTATTACTGAGAAGTGGCTGTCCTGCCAGAAAGCTGCGATTCTTATCTGTACCCACATTGACTAATAGTGAGTGGAAATAAAGTGGCTAAAATGCAAAAAAAAAAAAAAATAATTAGTTTGTTTTTATTTTGTAGTTCTTTTTCATGTCTATCTCTTCTTGTTTTATTTTTTCATTTCGAATTTCTTGTTCTTATAAACATTGATCTTATTTATCTCTCGGAGGATTACATTTTTATTTTAAAGTCTTTTTTTGACACTTCTTATTTTCATTTTGCTTAGAGAGACTCCATATACCAATTATCAATTTTATTATCTTTTTTAATCATTAAACATCTGTGAGTGTTTGGGGGTTTAGATTGCCTACTTCCCTTGCATGGCATATAGCCTCTCCTTTCAGCACAATGTTATAATTGGATGCTTGTCCCCACTCAGCACTTCAAGGCTACCAATCCAGAGCCAGGTCTAGGGGCTTAGATGCCTTCCCTGGGGACTCAGTGAGCTGTTTGGCTCAAGTCATGAGGCTGTGCTTAGGTACTCCTCCCTTTCTATGTATAAGCTCTACATAAACCATAGCCAGCAGCAGCAGCTTTTCTCAGCCTCCTTTCCCAGTGATGGAGATTCAGCCAACATTCTTTCCTTAAGCAGAAAACCTGGCTCAGACCTTGGTTTCAGATAGGTGCATTTAAACCATATATTGCAATAGAATTTCTTTCTACTTCTCCATATCCAGAAGACTTTAAAGTTCATTCTGCTTTTCATCTTGCATGTCTGTCCTGTTTCTAATCTTGAAATTACGAGATTCCATTTATCTCTTGAGCCAGAAATGTTTCAGCCTCATCCATAACCACAGCCTGGTTTCCCCTTTGAAACACAATGACATTTACTTTGTGCATCTTGTGTAAGTGAGCATTCTGTCCCTCAAAGACTCTTCATGGGGTCACCAGCTCTTCTTTAGAAACAGTCATCCTTTCTGAGCCACATTTTTAGGGATTCTGATTCTTCTGACCTATGATTCAAATGTTTAACATGAAAGCAACACATCTAATGGGGTAGCTGGGAGACCTGGTTTGTAATCTACTTCTGCTATTTACTGGGTTTGTAGTTCTTGGGGAATATTTTGCTACACTGAATCTTCATTTTTGAATCTGTAACTTTTTAGAGAAGTTATGAAAATTAAATATTATGTTATCAGTGAAAGCACAATTAAAGTATTAAAGTATCATGAAAATGTTCAGCTGTGTGTCTTCTATTGATCAAAAGCATTGGAAACTTCTTTGGAACCAATGTGTGATAGCTGAGAGTTGTTTTAGGAAGCCATTTTTTGCATGTATTCATTCAACCATTATTTATTGAGCAGCTGCTATGTACCTGGCACTGAACTAGGCACAGTGAGGTGATGCTGCCCAGTATGGTTAGATCTCACTTGTGCTGTAATTCTCCCCTAATGATGAGAGTTCAGATATGTCCCAATATACAATTGTGACGTCAGTAACACAGGCAGAAACAGACACATAGGAAAATAGGGAAGCTTGGTTACAGACGAAAAACCCTTAGTCACTTTGACACATCTGCTCTTCACACTGGTATTTTCTTGGTTTAAGTGATGACTTACTGAAATAACTGGGCCAAATCAACAAATCAGATATTGCAAAACCTTTATTTTTTTTAAAAAAATGACTAAATGGCCAGTGCTGACTTGGTATTTTTGGATAGTAAGTACAGAAATATAGTTTCCTCTTCTTTCTGTCTCTAGTTTTGACTGTGGACCTATCCCTGTGCTCCTCCACTGGACTCTAGTCTCTTGTAGGAAATAAATCTCTTTAAGGAAGATGAAAGGGTTGGTATGTATGCCACATACTTGCTAGCCTTATACGCCTCCTGGACTTAAATGATCCTCCCACCCCAGCCTCTTAAGAACTGGTGTGCACCACCACACCCAGCTAATTAAAAATATGTTGTTTTTTTTTTTTTTCTTTTTGTAGAGATAAATTCTCACTATGTTGCCTGGGCTTATTTCAAACTCCTGGTCTCAACCAGTCCTCCTGCTTCAACCTCCTAAAGTGCTGAGATTACAGGTGTAAGCCACTGCCCCCAGACCTCAAAGCAGTATTATACGTATTCTAGACTATATTGTGGTACAGAAAAATCAAGAAGTTGACTGAGTCAAGCATTTGATGGATTTATTGCTTGCATTCTATATTGGCAACCGTAAGGGTTGCTGTTAAATGTTACTAGTATGAGGGTTTGGAAAATTATGCCCAGTTATTGTTCAATCTTTGAAGACTGAGGAATAAGGCATGTTCCCCTTAAGCATTTAATGATGTTCTTGCAATTTTATTGTTTTCTTTTCCTTAGTCCTTGTCCAAATATATGCTTTTTTCCTCTTTTCTTTTAGCCTTCATCTACTCCTTGGAGATTGCTTTGTGTGAAGGAGTGCTTGTTTCAACTAGGCTGTCTTTCCTTTGTCAGAAGAGTCCACAGGCAAACCTGAGCTGTGCCTACTTGCTGGACTTGCTATAGGGACCTGAATTGGCAAAGGAAGGGGAAGAGTAGAGGACGAAGAATGGGAGACAGTGAGTCTATGGCTGAGTCTTTTCAGATGCCTTCTGCCTAGTTTTTAGATTGCCATTGCCTCAGTTCCCTCTGTGGGATAGGTCAAGACTTGTGCACTGTCTTGACTCATGTGGCAGCTACTTAATTCCCACAGTGGGCCTCAGCTCTCACGTGCTGGGGCAACCAAGAAGGAAAGTAGTTAAGAAGTCAGGGTGCTTAGCAGTGTTCTAAGTTTAGCCCACTAAGGAAGCATTTCAGATAGTTCTGTTCTCCTTTTTGGTGTGGAAAATAAATAGCTGGATGACAGAAAAGGCTGTGTTAGGGCCTCAGGCTTGTATGTTGATGATGGTATTTGTAGAGCATTTACTAAGTTCTAGTCAATGTTCTAAACATTTTACATCTCTTCACTCATCGAATCCTGATAACATTTCCAGGGTTTAGGCTCTATTATTGTCTTCATCCTACAGATGTGGAAATCCTAGAGGGCAAATCCTTGCCTTTTCTTTTTATTTTATTATTATTATTATTATTATTATTTTAAGAGACAGGGTCTCACTATGTTGCCCAGGCTGGAGTGCAGTGGCTAGTCACAGGCGTAATCCCACTACTGATCAGCATGGGAGTTTTGAAGTGCTCCGTTTATGACCTGGGCTGGTTCACTCCTCCTTAGGCAACCTGGTGGTCCCCCGCTCCCGGGATGTCACCATATTGATGCCACACTTAGTGCGGACACCCCGTCGGTATAGCGCACTACAGCCCAGAACTCCTGGGCTCAAGCGATTTTCCCACCTCAGCCTCCTGGAGTAGCTGGGACACAAACCCAAATAATCTTTTTAAAATAAAATTATATATTTTATTGTGTTTTTTTTTAAAAGAAAACTAAATTATTTCTTGGGAGAATAGTATTCCCATATCCTTTTATAGAGCAAAAATATTTTTAAATGGATGAATGGATTGGGAGTACTAGAAAAAAAATGGTAAAGAAACTTAATGACAGGCCAGGTACAGTGGCTCATATTTCACCAGCATGTTGGGAGGCTGAGGTATGTGGATCACGAGGTCAGGAGTTTGAGACCAGCCTGGCCAACATGGTGCAACCATGTCCCTACTAAAAATATAAAAGGCTTGGTGGCAGCTGCCTGTAATCCCAGCTACTCAGGAGGCTGAGGCAGGAGAATCACTTGAAACCAGAAGGCAGAGGTTGCAATGAGCCAAGATCTCACACTGTACTCCAGCCTGGGCGACAGAGTGAGACTCCATTTCAAAAAAAAAAAAAAAATTAATGACAAATCTCAACACCTAGAATTAAATTGCTAGCTTCACTGGGGTTTCCTAATAATTATAACTATTTTTTATTCTCACAGCAAACCTTGAAACAAAAATGGGTGGAGTACAGATCTCTGCAGTTACAGGAACATCGTCTGCTTCATGGTAAATGCAATTTCCTGTTGAGAAACCACAGTAACATTACCTCTTTCAGTATTTCTGCCTCTAAGTTGTTTTAAGATTATCATAATTACAAGAAAAATTTGTCTAGTGCTGGCCAAAGAAACGAATCTGTGTTGCTTTGGCGTGAGCTTTGGAGTGACTGTATTTGGAGGAGGGATAAGTGAAGTCAGATCCACTATTCCACATACATGACGCATATGCACATGGATGAACATGCTCGAAAACAGGCATCTGGAGATTTTAGATCATTGGGGAAGATTGTCTGACTTTCCTTCTACTTCAGTGAATGAATTATGATCCTGAAAACAATCACAGCTCAGGGGCTGAATAGTTTTTAGAAGTTATTAAAGTTAGAATGGTTACACACTGGGTAGAGCTCCTGTCTTTTGCTTCAATTGCATAAATTACATTTATGCACAGAAATTCTTTTTCATGGCCCCAAAGATGAAGACAGAAATGTGTAAGACTATTGCAACAGTAAATGCATAGCTCTTGCCATTGAGTGCATTTTTAAGGGAAGGGTTGAGTTTAAAATGTGTTAATTTGCTATTTGCTCTGTGACAGATGTAACTAAAGGAATGAACTTTTATGTAAAAATAACTAACTGAAACCACTATGTGGGTATGAAATATAGGTTATCTCTTCTTTAGATAGGACCAAGCTTAAGTTTCTAACCTAGAATATCTGTTAAAGGTTATAATCAATTTGTTTACTGAAAAAGATAAAATTCCTTAACTAGTCACTAATTTATGGCTTAGAGTTATGGGATGAAGCTCTGTGTATTTATTTTTTTAATTGAAGTGTTTGAAACTTATGTACAAGTTACTTCTTCATTCAATATTTAAAAAAAAATTCATAATGGATTTTTTTGGGGAGTGAAATTTGTTAGAGAGACAGAAATATTTAACACAAAATTCTTAATGACCTTTTAAATTCAGCCACCTCCTTGCTTTCTTTAGATATGAGGGCCTTTTAGCCTCATTTTCACTTCTGCAGCATCCCGAATGGCCGTGAATATAGAAATTCCTGGAGTTCCACAGGAACAACCTTGGATAGACAACATTGTTAGGTCAGGATCCTCATAAAGTAATGTTGTACACATTTTTTGAGTTATTGAGGGAGTTCTGCTTTTTCTAGATGTATAGTAAACATCCACGGCATGTGATTCTATAAGGCAATTGCTCTCCAATCAAAAGAAATTCATCACTCATTGCAAGGTGAAATGAAGTAGGTCGTATTAGCAAAAAGGAAAGCATTACGACTAGTCACTGTGGGGCTGGCTGTACTCAACCTTGCGAATCATGTGAAAAAAGTTTCTTTTTATATTATCAACCAAGGACAAAAGAGAGCAGCCGTAAAGATAACTAGCACAAAATAAAACCATTCTTCTGAAGCAGAGTCACTTACTAATTATATTTTTCCAAGGCTGATATTACAAGTTATCTCTCTCTCTCTTTTTAGCAAGATACCAACCAACTCAGATAATGTGGAAGCAGGGAGGGCAGTATGGACAGGGTGTTGGTATGTGATCAACATTTGAGTTTGAAGAGCCAGATGTAGGTTATGAAGGATCAATGGAAAAAATTCAGCCAAGCAGATACAATTCAATTTCTTCAAATAAGTTATTACTTACTTGAGGACAGGGATAGTTTCTGGGTACAGTATCATTCCAGAGAATATAAGTATTCCAAAACGAAACTTGGAATATTGAGGTTGGGAGATACATTTGATTTCACAAATCCTTTCTCTAAGAAACACTTTTGAATTACCTGTTTCATAACCGTTTTCTATATACTTCAAATAATTTTATAATAATTTTAGAATTATTTAAAAAAGACAATACTGGCTGGGCACGGTGGCTCATGCCTATAATCCCAGCACTTTGGGAGGCTGAGCGGGCAGATCATGAGGTCAAGAGATCAAGACCATCCTGGCCAACATGATGAAACCCTGTCTCTACTAAAAAATAAGAAAATTAGCTGAGTGTGGTGGTGCATGCCTATAGTCCCAGCTACGTGAGAGGCTGAAGCAGCAGAATCGCTTCAACCCGGGAGACGGAGATTGCAGTGAGCCGAGATCATGCCACTGCACTCCAGCCTGGTGACAGAGCGAGATTCCATCTAAAAAAAGAAAGAAAAAAAAGTACCTAAGAATCAGAGAAACTAAATGGAGAAAAGCCTGATAGCATTTCCCCAAAACTAATATTTATTATTGGGTTTATTGAACCCCATTTCTTTGAGAATTTTAAAAAGGTTTTAGGGTTATTTAAATGTACAAAATGATCATTTTGGAGATTCAGATGTCACACTGGTAGACTGTCAGTTGGGTTGAACTGTTCTCATATGAAACATCTTGTTTAAATTCACTCTAATATTATAATTTTTGAACAACAGTTCGGGAAACCCTACTATAAGGTTTATCAAATGGCCTCATAAGCAGTCATTTATTCATGCAAGCCAAAGCTCAGTGAGAAGTATTTTTCACCCTTACTCTTTCTTGTGTCATTCAAAGAGAAGTTTTGATGTAGTGTATTTATTAGTAAGGAGTGATGAATAGATCCATTTCACAGTAGACTGTTCTCTCTGCTCTAGGTGATGAAGCTAACTGCCCAAGTTTGGAAAGCATGGACTTGGATGAATCATCTTTGTTTGGACCCCTGCCTGGGCCAGGACCAGCCTTTGTGGACCGGAATCGATTATCCAGTGAGAGCAGCTGTAAGAGCTGGCTAAGCTCCATGACGATGGACAGTGAAGATGGCTACCAGATGTGTGTGTCTGAGGACTGCAGCAGGGGTGCCTTCAGTCGGCAGACGAGCACAGATGATGAGTGCTTTATCCCCAAGGAGGGGGATGATTTTCTGAGGAGGTCATCCTCAAGGAAGACCCGAAGCATCAGTAACACCAGCAGCGGATCCATGTCTCCCTTGTGGGAGGGCAACTTCTCAAGCATGTTTGGGACCCTGCCCCGGAAGAGCAGAAAAGGAAGTGTCCGAAAGCAACTCTTGAAATTTATCCCTGGCCTTCATCGTGCTGTGGAAGAGGAAGAAAGTCGCTTTTGATGGATTGTGGTGTCCTTTTAAATTAGCTTATTTCACAAATATCTCTAGGCTCACCCAGATCTCAGCTTGGTGGGAAAGTGCAGATGAATTGCAAAACTGACATCCCATTTCACCACAATAGTGACCTTTATTTAAATGGTTGTGTCATAGTTTTTGCTTCTTAAATCATTTTTTCAACCCAAACATCGCAAGTTTTAAGCAGACAGGGAAACTAAATAATAAGTTAATTAATATAACAAAGCTGCAAGTGCCTACTCATTTCAGTGCTGTGAAAGCAAAACTAATATTTATTTTCTAGATTATCCTTGTGAAAAATTGACAAGTTTTTGAAGTCAAGCATGAATAAAGGTGTAGCAGAATATAATAATCTGGATTATCTTCCATAGGCTAATTGGTTGGTTATAAAATCTTAGGTTTATTTATGCCCAGTAGCTCCTTAGGAGGCTTAATAATAGGCAATTTTGGATTTGTTCAAACCTGTAATGGCTTGTAAACAAAGATGACCATCAGCCCTTTCCCACATCTACAGTGACAATAAACTGGAAAGTATAAGACTTAATAGGAGGGGTCGGCCGGGTGTGGTAGCTCATACCTGTAATCCCAGCACTTTGGGAGGCCAAGGCGGGCTGATCACAAGGTCAGGAGTTCGAGACCAGCTTGACCAACATGATGAAACCCCATCTCTACTAAAAATACAAAAATTAGCCGGGTGTGGTGATGCGGGCCTGTAATCCCAGCTACGCAGGAGGCTGAGGCAGGAGAATTGCTTGAACCCGGGAGGTGGAGGTTGCAGTGAGCCAAGACTGTGCATCGCACCACTGCACTTTAGCCTGAGTGACAGACAAGACTCTGTCTCAAAAGAAAAAACAAAACAAAACAAAAAACATTTAATAGGAGGGAAAAGGTTCATGAGAAACATGAAAAGATGTGGTCTAAGATGGGTTCTGACAAAGATCTTAATAAAGTCTTTTTTATAGTCAGTCTAAACAAAATTGGTGAGGAGGTCATGCTTTTTGCTCCATTCAACTTTTGTTCTGCTGAACGTTAATGGCAAGTCTAGAACTTTCTGAATCCTACAGCTTCATAATTTTTTTTTTCTACAAGTATCTAACATCCAAAATGTGAGAGTTGGGAAAAAGATTCCTCCTGCAGATTTTTTTCATGTTACTTCTCACTTTATATCATATATTTCTAAATAGCTATCACCTCAGCAGCCTTTTGTCTATTGGTTATGTTAGTATCACATTACTTCTAGCCTTTTAATTACTCTATGTTTTATTTAATATCCATTAAAGTCTATGAATTATGTATTCTGGTGGCACAGCTGTTCATTATCTATATTCTAGAGTAGACAATATGGACTATGTAATAGTCTACTGATTTTAAGTTCTCTCTCTCTGTGTGTGTGTGTGTGAGAGAGAGAGAGAGAGAGGGAAATAGAAACACTTTAAGTAGAACTGCTAAATTTAAATAAACTTCTGATAAAGGAATGAGTTATTCTGAGAAAAAATGGGTAGCATAAGGAAGCACGTAGGAGAAGAAATAAATGATCAAGTATAAAAAGATTTATATTTGGGACCTGCCTTCTATTAACACTTGAACTGAGAAACATCCAGTAGGTTCTGCATGAGAGTCATTTATATGAAAGGCAGAGTGAGACACCTTTCACAGAAACAACAGCAATCCTGTCTACCATTTACTGAATACCTAGTTGGCTAGAGACACTTTATGTGTGATCCTCACAATTACTATATAGTAGGTGTTAGGCATACAGATAAGAAGGCAGGAATCTGGAATTGTTCTCAGGGTCACAAGGCTAGTCAGTGGCAGGGCTGAAGTTGGAAGTCTTCCTTGCTCTAGTCTATTTTAGATATCCTTTACCCCTTTGGTTCTGTTTAGTGATCATCACAGTGCTTTTTATTCTACCCAACAGGAATACTTAAAATGTACAATTGTACATACTGCATAGACAAGTGTATTTCTTTTGGTAAATAGCTAAACAAACACTTCTCTTGTCCCTCATACAAAAGTTTTCAGATATAGGTTCTTTAATAACTACGTGATTAGCAATGCATTTATTTTCAACGAGAGCTTGCAAACCAGTTATGATTCGACTGATATTGCTTATTTGTCATCATAGTCTAGAATCATCCTGTTAAAGGTCTACTTATGTGAATTCAGCATTTCTTGTTACCCTATTTCACAAAGTCCAGGGGAAGGAAATAACACATTTATTTGAGAAAAGATGACTTTGAGATCTTCTACAAGGTGAAAAAAATGCTTTGAAAACTACCATAGGTCATATGGGAAAGCAGACCATAGATCATTTGCTTCTCTTGTAACTTTAATACAGAAGTGTAATACTGCTGTATGATAGTAGACCTCAAACACAAAAAAAGGGGCAAGGAAAGGATGGAGCAAGCATCACTTTAGTTTGCGGTAAGAATTAGAGTTGAGGTATGTTCTGAGATAAAAAAAAAAATACCGGTTAACCAAAATACAGGAAGGAATGGTATGTCATGTTTTATATGTCCACAAGCTGTGAGAAAACTAGCTTTTGGTTAGTGGAAATGCGGGTAAGTTTCTCACAGTATAGCTTTTCAGACAAATTTATGACCTCAGTGGGGCTTTAGAAGAAACTTCTGGTGCATAGTGACTCACTCTGATATAATTTACTGGGAAAAAAATTGAAAAGTGTTTTTTTAACCTGAAAGTTGTCAAACATGTAATACTGGTGAACTAAATTAATTGACAACCTGTTACGAAAATGCATTTTTCTGGAAGAGCATTTGATAAGCCAAATTTGAATCAAGTGGATTGGGAATTACTTTATCACCGGGCTGAAGAACACCACCATAACAAACAGATTAGGAATATACTTTCAGAATGAACTTTTATTTATTACTTTCTACTTTATGATAATTTTGTATCTTAAGTGCATGATAGAGATAGCATTTAAAATCCCAGTTTGTACTGAAGATATCAAAATTGGATATAGCTTGTGTGTATTGATGACAAAGTACAGACATTTTTGAATGTACACATACTAAAAACAGTAATACGTCACTATATTGAGCCCTTCAGATCATAAAAGTATTGTTATTTTATATTTATATCCGTTTCCTTACATACCGATGGGCTATAAAATAAAAATTTGATGCCTTTATGAAATAAAGAATGCCATTTTTCAGTGTCAGAACTTTCTTTCTCTCTCTTTCTCTCTGTCTCTCTCCCTGCATTTCTCTCTCCCATAAAAGAAATAATTGTTTAAAAAAAAACCTGGGTGACTTCTTGACATTTACTACTTTGAGGACCTTAAAAGACACTACTTACTTAATTGAGACTTTGCATTATTAGCTTTTCTATTGCTATTTAACAGATTACGGCCGGGCGCGGTGGCTCACGCCTGTAATCCCAGGACTTTTGGGAGTCTGAGGTGGGTGGATCACCCGAGGTCAGGAGTTTGAGACCAGCCTGACCAATATGGGGAAACCCCATCTCTACTAAAAATACAAAACTAGCCGGGCACAGTGGCACATGCCTTTAATCCCAGCTACTCTGGAGGCTGAGGCAGGATAATCTCTTGAACCCAGGAGATGGAGGTTGCAGTGATCTGAGATCACACTATTGCACTGCAGCCTGGGCAACAAGAGTGAAACTCTGTCTCAAAAAACAAAAATCATCACAAACTTAGAAACCTAAAATATATTTATTATTTTAAAGTTTCTGTGGGTCAGGAGTCTGAGCACAGGTTAGCTCAGGATCTCACAAAGCTGCAATTAAGTTGTTGCCCAGGGTTGAGTTCTTACCCGGAGGCTTGATTGGAGAAGGATTTACCCATAAGCTCCTTCAGGTTGTTGTCAGAATCATTTTCTGGTGGCCATATAATTTATAGCAGCTTGCTTCTTCAAAGCAGACAATGAAGAGGAAAAAGGGAGAGGCTGCAAACAAGACAGTCTTAAATAGTACAATGCAACTGCCTTTGCCATACAGCATAACCTCTTAAGTGACTTCGCATCACCTTGCCATATAATGTAACATTAAGATAGGAATAGCATCCTATCAACTATACCATGTTCTGTTTGTTAGAAACATGTCACAGGCTTACCCACACTCAAGAAGCAGGGATTACATAACTCATGAACATTAGGAGGTAGGGATCGGGGAGCACCCTAGTCTGTGTAACAGCATTCAAGGAGTTCACAGACTTGATAATATAAGGGTATTGAGCTGTCTCTAAACCCCCTTGAGTAAAAATGAGTGTATGTCATAATAGTTTTTTTTTGGATGCAGTTTTGTTCTTGTTGCCCAGGCTGGAGTGCCTTCGTGTGATCTTGGCTCACCGCAACCTCCAACTCCCAGGTCAAGTGATTCTCCTGCCTCAGCCTCCTGAGAAACTGAGATTACAGTGCCTGCCACCATGACTGGCTAATTTTTGTATTTTTAGTAGAGACAGTGTTTCACCATGTTGGTCAGACTGGTCTCAAACTCCTGACCTCGTGATCCTCCTGTCTCAGCCTCCCAAAGTGCTGTGATTACAGGTGTCAGCCACCATTCCCAGCAATAATTTTTACATTTTATAAATGGAAGCATTAGTGAATTCTGGAATGAAATAACCTCATCAAGATTATATAACGTGCCAAAAAGCTGATTAAGAAACTTTCTGGCCTTCTAACTTTGTCTCCTGGGTGCGTGAAATGAAAAAAGATTATTTTAAAAGAATAAGAAACAATGAACTAGTTACTTACTTTCAAATCTTACTTAGGGAATGTGAATGGATTTAAGTGAATAGTGACTGGAATACTGAAGTTTGCCATTTCTAGGCAGGTGCATCTTTTTGAGCAGAGGATAGTAGGAACTTTTACATAGAAAATAAACAAAACACTTATTATCAAAACTATAAAGCACAAAAGGAAATGACCAGCCACGAGCATAGTCAGGAGATATCACAAAATTATCAGGACTTGAGCGAAAATAGCAGTTTGAAAGAATATAAAAAATGTATGTCTTATGAATAAAGGATAACTTCCTCAGCTTGATGAAGAACATCTACAAAAAGTCTACAGCTAACAGAATGGTGGGAAACTCCACACTTTCCTTCCAAGATCAGCTACAAAGCAAGTATATTTTCTCTGACTTCTTTCTACATTGTATGAAAATCTTAGCTAGTGAAATAAGACAGGAAAAGAAATAAAAGACACATAAATAAGGAAGGAAGAAAAGAAACTGTCTGTTTGAGGATGATATGTTGTCTATGTGAAAAGTCTCAAGAATCAACAGTGTGACAAAAAATCCTGGCACTGCTGAGTGAGTGGTCATGGAATACAAGTTTAACATACAAAAATCAATTGCTTTCCTGCATAC